GCACTACTATGGCAGTTGTAGGTGCAGAGGGTCCTGATGCTGCTGATTCAGTTGTAGGTGGAGCTCTAGAGGCAGCAGTAGCAATGGCAGGAGATGCTGAGGTTGGATCTGAACTTGGGTTTCCATCTGTTGGCATAGTACATCCAAGGGAACATGGCTAAGTGGTACTATCGCGTACCGGGTCGAGGCTGAGCTGACCAGAGGGTTTCCCTTACACCGTTTGTCCCGCTCTTTCTTCCTCTCCTCCCCCTAGCACCCCGCTCATTCTCTTTTTTTCCCTACTCTATAATTAAAGAAACCTAACCTACCTAACTAGTTTTTTTTTAATTCTTCTGACTATAACTAACCACCTTTCTTCCCCTCCTTCCCACTCTTCCCCCCCCCTTTCCCTCTCCTTCCTCTATCACCCCCCTCATTCTCCGCCCTCCCCCCCCTATCTCTCCCTCTGCCCCCTCTACTAAAATATCCTACTAAAATTTCCCCTACCCTATAACTAATTAAACACTTATCTACCTGTTTGTTTTCTTCTTTAAATTTATCTGACTAACTAATTTATTTGACTATAACTAACCCCGTCTCTCCCCTTCCCTTCCCTCCCACTCTTTCTCCCCTCACCCCCCCCCCCCCCACTCTTTCCTTCTCCTTTCGCCCCTCTTATTCTCCCTCCTTCTGTCCCTCATCTTTCCTTCCCTTCTGCTCTTGTCCATTTAGCCTCCTGTCTCTTGTGATCTTCTTCCAGATACTTTTCCTCTTCTCATTTTTTAGTTTTACCATCTTCTCGCCTGCTCAAGTCTCAGTCTGGCTATTCTTTTCTGTTCCTCTTCTTCCTTTCTCTTCTGTTCTTTTCTCCGTTTGGCCTCATCTCTCTTGTACTCTTTTTCCATCCGGTTCTCCATTTCTCTTTTTTTGTTTTCCCATCTTGTGGCCTGCTCATCCATGAGTTTGTCCATGCTTCTCTGTTTCTTTTCTTCCATTCTCTTTAGTTCTTCTTTCAGTTCCTCTGCTTTTCTCCATTTAGCCCCCTCTGTCTTGCGATCTTTTTCCAGCTGCATTTTCTCTTCTTTTTTTCTGTCTTCCCATCTACTCGCCTCCTCATCTCTGAGTCTGTCCATTGTTTTCTGTTCCCTTTCTTCCATTCTCATCCGTTCTTCTCTCCTCTCCTCTGCTTTCTTCCATGTATCCTCCTCTCTCTTGTGATCTTTATCCAGCAGCTTCTGCTCTTCTTTTTTACTGTGTTCCCATCTTCTTGCCTCCTCATCTATGAATCTGTCCTGCCATTTCTGTTCCTCTTCTTCCCTTCTCTTTTGTTTTTCTCTTTTCTCCTCTTCTTTTCTCCATTCAGCTTCTTTCCTCTTGTGATATTTTTCCAGCAACATCTCCTCCTCTTCTCTTTGCTTCTCAGGTTCTCTTGTTATGTTTTCCCACATTCTTGCCTCCTCAGCTATAACTTGTTCCTCCCGTCTCTGTTCCTCTTCTTCCTTTCTCTCCTGTCTTTCTCTTGCGTCCGTCAAGTTAGCTACCTGCCTGTTGAAATATTCTTCCATCCGCTTCTCCTCTTCTCTTCTTTTTTTCCCTTTTTTCTGCCATCTCATCTCTGAGCTTTTCCAGCCTTCTCTGTGCCTCTTCCTCCCTTCTCTTCTCACTTCTCCTCTGCTTTTCTCCACTGAGCTTCCTCCCTCTTGCTCTCTTCTTCCAGGCACTTTGTCTCTTTTAATATTTTGTTTTCCCATTTTCTTGCCTCCTCATCTCTTAATCTGTCCATTGTTCTCCGTTCCTCATCTTCCTTTCTCTTCTGTTTTTCTCTATTCTCCTCTGCTTTTCTCCAGTTTCGCTTCCTCCAACTTGCGAACTTCTTCCAGCTTTTTATTTTCGTCTTTGTCTTTTTTTCCATTTTTTTACCTCCTCATCTCTGAATGTTTCCCTCTTTCTCTGTTCCTCTTCCTCCTTTCTCTTCTGTTTTTCTCTCTTTTGCTCCACTTTTTTCAAATTAGCTACCTCCCTCTTGCGAACTTCTTCCAGCCAATTCTTCTCTTCTCTTTTTTTGTTTTCCCATCTTTTTGCCTCCTCCTCTCTGATTTTATCCATCCTTCTACGTTTCTCCTCTTCCTTTCTTTTTTGTTCTTCTCTTTTTAGCTCTGCTTTTACCCAGTTAGCTTCCTTTCTCCTGCAATCTTCTTCCAGCCACAGCATCTCTTGTATTTTTTTGTTTTCCCATTTTCTCTCCTCCTCTCCTCTGAATTTCTCCTTCCTTCTCTGTTCCTCCTCCTTTCTCTTCTGTTCTTTGCTCTTATTGTCTCCTTCTCTCTGTTTAACCACCTCCTCCACCAAACACATCTCCTTTTCGGTCCTTACGTTTTCCAGTCCTATTGCCTCAGAAAGCTTGAAGCGGATAGTTGTACGTCTGACCTATAAATGAAAAGAAAGTGATTAGTTGACATTCAGATTTAAAAGTTGAGTTACATTGGTATTATTTGGATTGTGTTTGGTTACATAATTGTGACGTTTCTGTAATTTTTTTTTTTATTTCATCTGCATCGCATAAAGTGTATGTAAACCCATATTCTATGTCTCACTATGTCTGGCATCGCCCCTCACTGTATACAGTGTATGTAGAGCCAAAACCTTTTGTTCTAGTCTATAGATAGTATAGGGAAGGGTTACAACCCCTATGAAGTTATTTTCTTTATTTCCCATCACTTCTTGTCCTAGAGATGCAACAGGAAATTTGAGGAAATCTCTCTAATGTGAAGTAGTTCCCATCTTAGTTGTCACAGGAGTGGGTGTTCCCATTGGAATATTTTCATTCATCAACATCTCAGAATGATTGGATTACCACTCCTCAGCGGCAACACAGATAACAAGAAAAACTCAACACGGCATCTAACTGCTCACCGCTCTATCAAAAAGTACAAAACGCCTTTGCATACACTTTTGAAGGACAATTGACCTAAGAACAAAAATGTAATTTATTGCAGATGGACAGTCCTTACATGTGATGGATGCATTAGTTTTAATTTTTCTGGGTGGGATATGTCAGACAAATTTTAATATTTTTGAATAATCCCATGCTTCTTGAGGTAAGGTATGCAAATTAGAGTGACATGGTCCTTTGCAATTGGATCAGAACACTCTCCCTAATGTGCAACCACAAAAAAAAAAACCTTTTGGCTAAGGTCAGTGTGCATGTGCCATAGGTAGGTAACAAGTGATGCTGCGATTCGGCCTTTTGGCTGGATCCTGTGGTCTTTGCCAAGAGGTTGGAAAGTAAGGGAACCTGCACCCTCGGCCTGGAGACGTACCCCAAGCGTCTCCTGCTGCTTTTGGGGGTGATGCTTCTCTGAAATCCGTCGAGAGTGATCACCAGGCTTATCCTTCCCCTCGGGGTCGGCAGAGCAAGGTGACTTGGCAGACTGGTGATATGACTGGTGTGCCTTCAGATCCCAATGCCATCAGGGTGTATATTGGAGAGGATCGTCGCTGTGAGTGTGGCCTGTACTACGTGCAGAAGAAGGTTGTGATGGAGCTGCTGCAGATGCCAATCGAGAGTATGTTTTGTGTCCAGGCTTTTTCGATCTGACATTCTTTCGGATGGCGGATGTTTGCGAACATGCATGCTGAGGAAAACTGAGAAGGCCCAGGACCCTTTGCTGGAGGGGGTCACGTTCGTCAGCAATGAGTCCAAGCAAAGGATCCCACTAACAATTCCAATATATAATCCCTTTGTCTGGGAGGAGGAGGTCCGGGCCTTCCTCCTAAAGTATTGTTCCTTTGTATCTGCCGGGATCATGCAAACAAATATATTAGAACATTTAACGGACACCGGAAGTACTATGTCCAGTTGAGAAAGGGTGACGCTGGAGTTGGTGGTTGTGCACACCCCCCCCAGGCCTTTTCAATTGGGCCAAACAGGGGGGTACTGTGGTATCCGGGGCAGCCACAGTTCTGCCGCAACTGTTTTGCCTTTGGTCATACTAAGGAGCAGTGCGAGGGAGGGATAGTGTGCCGCAACTGTTTCAAGTCCGGACACAGGACTGCTGAGTGTCCGGAAGGAAGAAAATGTCATCTATGTGGAAGCGACGCCCATTTGACCCGACAGTGCCTGAATCTGGAGGGGGGCATGATGGACTCTGCTCACAACATCAGCAGGCCCGCCGGAGGAAAACCCCCATCTTATGCTGAGGTCGCTGCTTAAGTGGCCCCGGCTAAATGTCCTGAGGCTCCTACAGAGGTGGAGGTGGCTGGTCCAACGCCCAAGCCTGATGAAGCGGCGGTGGTAGCTCAGGTCCCAGCTGTGGGGGCCAAGGAGCTGGAAACCCACCGTTGCGGAAGGTGGAGGGGCAGGCAAAGTTATGGACCTATCATCAAGGGACACCCTCAAGAGGAAAAAAGAGGCTTTGAAAGCTATTCCTGCATCTCAGGAGATATTAGAGTTTTTGTGCCCTGACATAGACTCTGACTCCTCTGTGGTTGCCACGGAGTCATTTTCCAGTAGCGGTCAGGTTGAAAACTTTCAGTCTGTTATGGGCTTTAAAAAGTCAGCTCCAGGTGGTGGATAGGAGTGGAGTGGCATGGTGGGGGTGGCAGGGGCTAAGGTCACTGGCAGAGGAGGTGGGAAAATGGTGGAAATTCAAGTCCTGGAAGAGGTGGACTGTTTGATAAGTAAAGTTCACCAAAAGGTTTTCCTTTTTTGAGGCCAATCATGGCTGTTCATGGGACATATGCCTTGTAAAGCGCAGGGCGATAAACCTATGCATATTTTTGACTTATGATCTGTTGAGCTTTTGTTGATATATAAAAACTTGTCTTATCTCTTCTTTTAAGCTACAATATATATGGTGGATGGGATGTAGGGCGAGTGATAGAATAATGATGTCTACTTTATAGGGACAGAAAAAAATGTCTAAAGGTCATAACGGTTCCATATTCGGGAGAAAGGCTGGAGCATCTTGTAAGAAAGACAAGAGAATTCTCTTCAAGTCTGAAACTGCTCCAAATGGATTGAAATAGTGAATGTAGGGTCCGGGGAGACCAGATATAGTGAATGCAGGGTCCGGGGAGACCAGATATAGTGAATGCGGGGTCCGGGGAGACCAGATATAGTGAATTCAGGGTCCGGGGGACCAGATATAGTGAATGATGGTCCGGGGAGACCAGATATAGTGAATGCGGGGTCAGGTGAATGCAGGGTCCGGGGAGACCAGATATAGTGAATGCGGGGTCCGGGGAGACCAGATATAGTGAATGCGGGGGGGGGTCCTCCGGGGGTTTAGTGTGCGGGTCCTGGGTTTAGTAAGACTTTAAGCCCTCTCTACACTGGAAGGGACCAGAGATCAGCATTCCATGTAGCCCTTTGCGAAGCAGGAGCAGCAGTGGGTAGATGTTTCCTCGAGTGGCAGAAAAGCAAAAATATGACAGAGCTGTTATTCCTTCTTCACTTGATGCAAAACTAAGAAAATAAATGACCCATTCTGTAACATATTTTTAACCATAAGATTTCAAGTCAGCATCCCAAAACAAGATAGACCCTCTTTAGGGCAGGACCTACACTAAATTGATTTACTCAGTGGTGTTTGTGTCTAGGAGAATCCAGGACCCATGACCTCTGTCTGGATAGTGCTGATTGGCCCTGTGCTGATCACATAGACTCTCCCAAGAAAAAAAAAACCCTTTCTAGCAATACACACTAAACTGAGCATGTGCAAATGCCTACAGTTCAGTCTGTCTTATCAGAGATAAGAGGTGGTCGCTTGAAAAAACGGGAGGAACAGAGAAGACAGGAATGGCCTTTTTACACAATGAAGAGGATTAACCCCTTAGATTCCACAGTGAGTATAACAGTGAGTACTGTTGTGGGTAAAATGCTTAACAGATGACGGTTTGGGGAGATTCCTCTTAGCAGGTAAAGATTTGGGGGGATTTAGGTTTGCAGATACAATTTGAGGGGATTCAACATTGTAAGAAAAAGAAGAAGTTTGGGGGAATGTAGCTCTCAGTAAGTATAGATTTGGGGGATTCATCTTGGCAGGCCAAGATTTGGGGAAATGCAGATTAGCAAAAAAAAAGATTTTTGGGGATGTTCACCATAGGAGGTAAAATTTGGAGGGATGTACCTTAACAGGTAAAGGCTTGGGATGATTGAGATTATCAAGTGGGATAAGTTTTGAGATATTTCATTTAGCAGATAAGATAAATGATAAAAATCAGGAAAATTCAGATGATTAGGTAAAGGTTTGGAGGGTTTCAACTCTACTGGTATTAGGTGAGGATCGAAGGCTGGAGGTGACTGTCGGCCTGACGAAGGAGTGAGCATGCTCCGAATGTGCGCCATCTTGGAAACCCAGTCCATGCGGTGACTTTATCCATGCGAGCCTCCCTGCGCCCCATCTGCTACTCCCCGAGCCCTGGACACCACCAGAGCGGCGGGAATACACCCAGAGCGAGGCCAAAGGACCTGATGCTCCCACTGGACCTCCATCACTTGACATGGCTACCTGTTACCTATCTACGTGAGTGCAATTTTACCATTAAATCTGCCTGATTTTTACCATCTACACTTAGAGTGGCGCTGCCATCTCTCTTCCCTATGTGGTTGTCAATGTCATAGTTCACATCAGTGCTTGGAGTTCCAGTTGCAAGTAGAACAGGCTGCATTTTTCCTGCACAGAACTGCACTGAAATGCGGTAAAATGTATCAAAAACGCACTGGAATGCACACACCAAAACGCACCAAAAACACATTGGAATGGCTAAAAAGATGTTTTTTAACCCCTTTTGCTGGCGCCTTCCGGCCCTTTAAGGGTTTCAGAATCCAGGAGGCAGGGCAGGGTTTAGGGTCATGTGACCTCCGTGACATGCCGTCACGGCGGTCACATGATCGGGAAATGCCCCAATCGAAAGAGGAGATCGGGACCTTTCCGTGAGTACCGGACATGTGTGCTGGGAGAGTGCAGGGCGCGTGCTCTCAGCACTTTTTTTTTTTTTAATAGAACGCAAATGTGCGGCCGCTTGGCGTCTAGGCCCAGACATCGGGAGGCCGTACATTTGCGTTCGGCCGGCATGAAGAGGTTAACCTACGTTTTCCAGCAGTCAGTTTCCATCGTTCAGAAAGTGTTCCTGTGTACATGGGGCCTTAGCATTACAGGATTGTTGCAAAGATCAGAATCATGTAATAAGGGCCTGCACCCCCGCAAAAAAGACCTGCGAGAAAGTTGCTGAATCTGCCCACATGGGGTTTTAACCAATAAAGTGGACTGTTTTACCTTCAGCTCAATTGCAGTTTTTCCTGTATGAATTTAGCAGTTTATTGATGGATTGTTTTGTTTATTATTATTATTAATATTGTTAGTATTTGGGAATTAGTTCCAACATTTTGCTCAGCACTTTACGATATAAAGGGATAAAGTGCAGTTAAAATACAATTGGAGACAAGAGGGTTGAATGGGCCTTGCTCCCGAGAGCTTATTGTTCATTCATTAATGTTATTTTGTTTGTTTTCTTCTATTATTATTCAGTTATATTATTAGTGGTGGCGGGGGAGAAATTCCCAGTAGGTCCTGCTTTCAGGATATATTCTCGAAACATTCAGCAATTCTCATTAGGTAGGTGCAGGGCTATGTGTGTGTGTGTGTGACATCGGCTTCCTAGATGCAAAATTTTATATAATAATGTTAGCAATAAAATAGGATTTGGTTATTGTAGTCTGAACACCCCTAATCTGAGCAGTTTTCTGTCGTTTTCATTTGTAATATCTCTAGAAATTTATTTTTCATAGCAGTTCCTACACCATCATTTTTCTCATTGAAGGTATGTTGGTTTTTTTTTTTTTTTTTATTGCTCTTTAACTAACATTTGTGGCAAAATTGTCTGCCATATGTATTCTGTTATACTGAAACCAACACCAGCAAATTGGCAGGAGAAATTTTCATCCCAGGCAAAGACAGGTCAGGCATTTGGTCACCAAGGGGGTTATTTACTAAAACTGGAAAGTGCAAAATCTGGTGCGGCTCTGCATATTTTTATTATTTATTTATTTCAGGTACTTGTATATCGCCGTCCAGGAGTAGATTTTATCAGCGTTTCAAACGCTTGTAAACGTGGCTAACCGCGTTTATAGGCAGTTGCATTTGAAATTTTTTTTTAACTCTTCCCTTTCCAGATGCTGTCCAGAGCCTTTTTTCATCATGAAAAATGCACGCAAAGCATTTGCACAGTACTCAAATGGACCCGATACACCATACATTGAGGTTTTGCATGAAAGAAAATATGTTAGACGCTTGCTGCAATAATTTCTGCACAGAAATAGCCGAAACACATCAAAATGTCACAAAAAAAAATAAGTTACTGCTCTCTCTGCTTCTGCTCTCTCTAATGTTGAAATAGTTCATTTGTACTGTTTTTCAGTGCATTCTGGGCATTTTGGAAGGTCTCCTGAGGTTATCTTTAAAAAACGCTTCTAAACGCAAACGCGCATAAACACGGTATGCAAACATGGCTAAACAGATGTTTTTTAACCCCTTGGCGCCGGCGCCCCCGGGTTTAGGGTCATGTGACCTCCGTGACACGCCGTCACGGCGGTCACATGATCGGGAAATGCCCCAATCGAAAGACGAGATCGGGACCTTTCCGTGAGTACCGGAACTTTATTTTTCATAGCAGTTCCTACACCATCATTTTCTCATTGAAGGTATGTTGTTTTTTTTTTGTTTTTCTTATTGCTCTTTAACTAACATTTGTGGCAAAATTGTCTGCCGTATGTACTCTGTTATACTGAAACCAACACCAGCAATTGGCAGGAGAAATTTTCATCCCAGGCAAAGACAGGTCAGGCATTTGGTCACCAAGGGGGTTATTTACTAAAACTGGAAAGTGCAAAATCTGGTGTGGCTCTGCATATTTTTATTATTTATTTATTTCAGGTACTTGTATATCGCCGTCCATTTACGCAGCACTTTACATATATATTGTACATTCACATCAGTCCCTAACCCTCAAGGGGCGTACAATCTAAGGTCCCTAACTCACATTCATACATACACATACTAGGGCCAATTTAGACAGGAGCCAAATAACCTACCAGCATGTCTTTTCGGAGTGTGGGAGGAAACCGGAGTACCTGGAGGAAACCCACGCAGGCACTGGGAGAACATGCAAACTCCAGGCAGGTGGTGCCGTGGCTGGGATTCGAACCGACGACCCTAGTACTGCCAGGCGGAAGTGCTAACCATTTAGCCACTGTGCTGCCCGTAGAAACCAATCAGCTTCCACGTTTTAGGCTCCATGCACAGGGGGCGTTTTAATAACACTGGTAACCTTTGCTGTGTAAAGTCACGTTCCGGGGTGGACTGACAACTCATGGGGCCCCCGGGCAATAGGGGATCATGGGGCCCCTGTGTCCTTGCCCAAACTCAAAAAAGCCTATGAAAAAGGTACCAGGGGCGGACTGACAACTCATGGGGCCCCTGGGCAATATGGGGTCATGGGGCCCCTATGTCCTTGCCCAAACTCAAAAAAAGCCTATGAAAAAGGTACCAGGGGCATCTCATGGGGCCCCCTACTGACCCCGGGCCCTCGGGCAGCGCCCGCGTTTCCAAATGGTCAGTCCGTCCCTGGTCACGTTAGAAACGTGAGTTTTCAGCATTTTTTTTAGAGTTTTGCTGCGTTTTTTCGCATTTGCAGTTTTTTTGTCAACAAAAGGTCCAAAAACGCTGGTTTTCTGCTATTTACCGCAGGCATTTTTTTTTTCAGCATTAGAGCGTTTTTACAGCTAAAAATCTCCTCTAGAAACCACTAATTCTGGGTTTTTTTTTTCCAGTCAAAAAAATGTCCCAGCCAAAAAATGTTGATTCCAGTCTATGTGTGTATGGACACATAGGATAACATGCTGGGGGGTTTACTGGATGTAGAAAAAAAGTAAAAAACAGCCGCTGTAAGAACATCCCGTGTGCATGAGGACTTAGGGCTCGTTTACACTTGACTTTATTTCTAACTCTTGCCAAAAGCCACTATACCGCTTGACAGGCGTTTGGGAAGCGTTTGATAGGCGTTTGCCAAGCGATAAAACCCACCTATAATGAAGTTAAATGTTATTAACGCCCCGCAACCACCGCATCGCAACTGCGTCGCAAACGCCTGCCAGACGTTTTGAGGAGCGGCACCGTAGACTTGAATGGGAGGCTTCAACTCATCCACGAAGCGTCAGATTTGCCGTGACACGATGCGATGCTAACACATCAGTGTGAACAGCACTGTGCGCTGCCATGTGCAGATTTTTCATAGGCTTTTAAGAAGCGTTAAAAACACTTCCCAAAACACCTGTCTGACGCCTGCTGACAAAGCTAGTGTGAACGTAGCCTTATTGTCAAAATTTAATTGAACAAACTGAAGTTAGACGCTTATTGGCTCCCATGCACGGC